CCTCTTCTTTAAAACTTGCAGTGACGGAACACCTACAACTTCTAAACGCAAGCAATTCCACTGGTTAGTTATTCTCACCGTCAGGAATTTTACCCTTAGTTCTGCGTTGCAGCTCTCTTTGATAATTTCCATTGATTACCTCTTGTCCTGCACTCAGGTGCTTTGGAGAATAGGTTGCCCCCCCCCTCTCTTTGTGACAGCCTCGTACATTGGAGGACTGCTACTGTGTGTGTGTGTGTGTCCCTCCCAGTTCTTTCCTTTGTTAGATTAGACATAACCAGTTCTGCAACCATTTAATCAAATGCTTTAGCTTCAGACCCATAATCATCTTTGTTGCTCTTCTCTACACTCTTTTTTAGTCTCAACATTTTTTTGTATTATGGTAGCCAAAACTGGACACGGTATCCCAAGTGTATATAGCAGTAGTAATACTTCATGTGATCTTGATATTATTTCTCTGTTGAAGCAGCCTGGGACTGCTTTGGTTTTTTTGGCAGCTACAGCACAGTGCTGGCTCATACTTAAAAAGTTGCCCACTAGGACTTCTAGATTCCTCTCACAATTACCGCTGTCAGCCAGGTGCCACTTATTCTATACCTGTACATTAGATTTTTCTTGCCTAAATGTAAAACCTTACCTTTCTCACCACTGAATTGCATTTTGTTGAATAGAGCCCAATGTTCAAGTGTGTCAAGAACTTTCTGAATCTTGAGCCTATCTTTTAAAGTGTTGGCTATTCCCCCTAGCATGGTGCTGTCTGCAAATTCCCCTTCTATCCTGTCACCTAAATTGTTTATGAAGATATTGAAGAGTGCTGGGCCTAAGACAGATCCTTGGTGTACCCCACTGCATACTCCTCTCTATATAGATGTAGTTCTATTAAGACTACATATTGACTGCAGTTTGTCAGCCAGTTACAAATCCAGCTGGTCATAATGCTATCTATCCCACATTTTCCTGTCTTACCAAGAAGTAGGTTGTGATCTACTTAATCAAATGCCTTACTGAAGTCCAAGTATACTATGTCTACAGCATTTAGTAATTTTGTCAAAGAAGCAATAATATTTGTTTGGTATGGACTGTTTTTGACAAACCTATCTTGGCTTTTAGTAATTGCTTTGTTTGCTTCCAGATCACAGATCCATTGTTTGATTATCTTTTCCAAGATCTTCTCAGGCATTGATGTCAGGCTGATTGGTCTATTGTTTCCTGGATCCATATTTTTTTCTTTTTTGAAGATGGGAAGCACATGGAACCAGGAACCAGGAGAAGAATCCAAGAGCATACGCTTCATGAATACATCATTAGAAAGAAAAGCAGAAGGATATGAATTATGATTAGCAGTCAATTTGTTGTGGGGAAAATAGGGTTATTAGATATGTATGTTCTGTGTAAAATATGAGTTATATGTAAAAAAAAGTCATAATGAGCCATGGTGGTGCAGTGGTTAGAGTGCAGTACTGCAGGCACTTCTGCTGCCTGCCTGCTGCCTGCAATTTGGCAGTTCAAATCTCACCAGGCTAAAGGTTGACTCAGCCTTCCATCCTTCCGAGGTGGGTAAAATGAGGACCCAAATTGTTGGGGGCAATATATGCTAACTCTGTAAACCACTTAGAGAGGGATGTAAAGCATTGTAAAGTCTTAAAGTGCTATTGGTATTAAAGTCTTAAGTGCTATTGCTATAATAAAAATATCATAGTATATCATATGAAGCAATATCCTTTTGACATAATTTTTGGGGGAGATAAGCATTATCATTGAACAAAGAATTACTGTAAATGCTCCCCAGAGTTAGAGTCATCACACTTATTTATGGGACCAAAACTCAAGCTGAAAAATAAGGAACTTATTTTCTACTTAATTTTAGCAGCTAACCTAATAATTGCCCAACATTGGAAAACTTTAGATAACTCAGCAATTGAGGTGTGAATTAATATGATCTTTTCAACTGCCACATTAGAAAACATTACAGATAAAGTTAAAATAATAAAACACCAAAGGAAGGGGCCACAATTCTATTAAATTTGGGCAGACTTTATATTTTACCTTAATTGTAACCAACCCACTTCTGACAACATCTTAGCTGGTGAATAAACATAAATGTTTATATTACTTGTGTCTTTATTTTTTAGCAGATCTTTTCCATTTTATGTATTTTTATTCTCTGTACAGCCTATATATATGTCAGTTATTTGACAACATTTACTAACCACAGTTCTTTCTAATATGCCTTGAGGAAAGAGCATTATTTCCAAACTGAAACTCATTAACTGATTATTTTCTTGTTTGAATAAGCTATATAACAAATATCATAAGCAATTACTGTTCAACCCCATAAATATACAGATAATATCTAGTAGTGAATCATGAAAGGGATACCAACTTGGACTTAGATGAGAAAATCCAGAAGAGGCTTGCCTTATCCTAGGATTTTTTAAAAAATACTGTAATAATGAAATATCCTTTGCCATATTGGAAACCAAGTAGTAGGATATAGAATGAAACAAAATAGAGTTTAGGCATTTTAAACTCAGCTGCTTAATTGTAATAAAGGATGATGCCTTGTTTTATAATCCTTTTAAACTGACATAGAATATCACAATTATATTTCTTTTAACTGGTGTGAGGTTTTGTAATAATTCCTTTTTAGTATCTAAAGAATATCTTCTTTGGAAGTAACCCCAGAAAAAATTCTTTTTAAGAAAATGTGCATATGGCGCTCAAAACAAAATAAAAAGTGGTATTAGATTTTTAACTTCCCTTTGTCTATAACATGGGGATAAAGATCTTGACCTCTCAGTGTTCCTTTAAGATTAGAAATTATACATTTATCGCACATTTAATATCATATCAATTTTTATTATATTTTCAACATTACCAAAGAGAACAATAAGTTCTGAATAGTCTAAATCTACGTTTCAAATGTTGGCAGATGTGGATCATTTTTACTTCTTCATTAGAAGCGAAACCCACAGCAAACTACAGAATTGTGGACTACAATCCCCAAGATGCACTGGGAACTGTGGCATTGAGAAAGTGACCTTTGAAAAAGGAGAAGTAGGTAGTGCACAGTACTTTCCTGGCTGCTGCTGGAGAAGATAGAATCAGTTGGCGAGATTGAAAGGCATGCTCTGGACTCCAAAGGCAGAATTTCCTAAGGAGACTCTGCTGACTGAACTCCTCCTCCACTTCCCCGGGAGCTTTACGTCCTTCCCCTTCTGCTCAGATTTCATCCACAACCGGAGAAGCAGACTTTCACTGACGTTTTCTCTGTCGACAGCTTGTTCCTGTCAAAACTGTAAGTAAGTACCCTTTATATTCCTGAACTGAAAGTATAAACAGGAAGAAATATACAGAGTTTAGGCCTGTTGATAGTTGTCTTCAGTTTTGCAAATATTCTCAGCGCTGTCCTAGCAACTGAAACTTAGCTGTTGTTGAAGATGACAATGAAATGCAACTTAACTGAATTTCATGCAAGTCCGACTTTTATGAGATCTGAGCCATTTACCAGAGTCTGAAAATTAAACAGGTTTGAGTTGTTACTGATGTGTTCCAACAGATTTTTCTCCAAGAGTGATAGCTAAGATAACACATGGTGGAAGGAAAGTGAAGGGTCGACATCAGTACACATGCCCAAACCATGTATTAATTTGAACTCAGAGTATCATTTAGGAGGGAAAGATTGTACAAAAAAGCAAATAATTCATGTAAGAGAAATCTGCAATTTAGTTGTCTATCTTCAAATAATCTAAATCACCAAGCAACTGACTGGTTTTCAGCATCCTTTTCATTTCCAGACAAATACCGTAATAATAGAATAGAATAGAATAGAATAGAATAGAATAGAATAGAATAGAATAGAAAATAGAATAGAATAGAATAGAATAGAATAATGTTATAATGTTATAAAATAATAAAGTTATTTTGAAATATTTATAGAATAACTTTTAATTGGCACCTCCCCCTCCTCCAAGTTTAACTCTGTAACCAGCTTGGGTGTAAAGTGCAAACTGAGAGTGAAAGAAGAATTTGCATCAGTTCATATTCTTAGGTATACATGGTTGCCTGTTTGTGTTTAACAGAAAGTAATGAAATGCTTTCAGGTACAGAACCGAGAATGGCTTGATTTGCCACTGCTGGTAGCAAAGTCTAATTGGGGACTTCAACTCAAGGGGGGTGGGGGGGTGGAATTCTGTCATTCAGGGAATTTTTTTAAAGCTACTATATCTGGGTTGCCAAAATGTAAACAAGTACTACATGGTAGCAAAGTTAGAATTGTCTACATTGCCTTGCTACCATTTAGTGCTTGCCCAGTGTTTTTGCTGCCCTGATATGGTTGCCTTAATTCTTTCGCACTTGTGAACTCAAATGACACTTCAGAAGAAGTTCAACACCAGTTTAAATAGAGCTCCAGATTTGGTCTTATAAATGAATTTTATTTTTGTTCTTCATATAACAGTCTTTACCAGTCCATGGAACTAACTCCCTACAAAGAAGTGTGTAGGAGCTATTTACCTGGTACGCCAGTTCTATAAAGATGCCCTGACATCAAGAATATAAATGGGTTAATTGTGAACCCTCAAAAGCAAATAAACACTAGAAGTCAAGAGGGAAGCAAAAATCTGAATCATGAGGGTAAGAATGAAGTCCAGGCTAGCTCCTGCAGCAATGAACACTTATTTCTAGATAAGGCACTAGTTGGCCTTGAGAAAATGAAAAAGGAGCTTTACTAATCACAATTTATTGAATTACAGAGGGCTAGAGATAAACAAGAACTATAACGATACCCAGGAAGAAGACAACCCTGAAATTAAAATGGCTCCTCTGAAATGAAGGAAAATTAATTATAAACACAGATACAAATTTGTGCAGTGCCCAGCTTCCCTACCAATTTAGGATTGCCATCTACAATTGAAACCAATCCCAGAGACCCTCCACTCGATAAATATGTTCAACTGATATCCTTGTATATGTGTTTACAGATTTTTGTGTTGTTATGTTTGTGTGTCAGTTTGCGTGTATGGTGTACAAAAAAAATGTGGTATTAAAATTAGTTGTATTAACTAGTTAGAAAGAATTGCCAGTAAATTGATATCTCATTTACCAAATGAGATTAATTATCAAATGCTTTTCCCATCTGCATTATTATGGCCTCCGTGTTTTCTTAGAAAAAATAAAGGACAAACCTGAAAAGGGACCAAATCTGAAAGAAGTTCATAAGGATTTAAAATTTATTTACTTCTCACATTTAAATGACTGTATTCTCATAAAAAGCGACTTTGAATGGCATACAACAATCAATAGCAATAGCAACATTATTGCTAAAAATAATCATTATGAAAATGATGACAAAGTCATCATTAGAATAAAAAACCCTAAAAAATAAACTACAGTATACAAACCACACAGAGAAAGTAAAAGATCTGAAAGACAATTTTCTGAAATAAAGGATTGTCTCATTTATAATAAAGAATGTATAGTCACTGTAGCGCATATCAACTACTGTCTCTCAGCCATAGAAAACACACAAGAACATGCATATATATTTCCCCTTCCCAGACACAGCAACAAAGAAAAAACGAACAGTATGGAGAAGGTGTGAAGGAAAGAGGTAATTGGGAAAAAATGGGGGAACAAAACTGAATTTAAAAAAAGATGAGGTTGGGAAAAGAAGTAGCTGGATAGTAAAGGAGAGAAAAGGAAGAAAAATCCCATTGAGGTATTATAAAAAGGATTAAATTTTCCTGGAAAACTTCTAAACAAATGTTAATCTTTAAAAGTATCCAAGCTTTCCAACAATAATGGCTGTAACTATCTTTACCTCATTTGGGAGGTGGGAAAAGTCCTTCCTATTGGTTAAGTAAAGTACAGTATTAGGAAAAAAATGCTTGCAATTGAGAAGCAGCTGTGCCAAATTATTCATGTGCTACATAAAAGAGATGTTATCTGTGGCCCACAAATAGTTTTATTATTATACTGTAACTCTCTTCCACAGGCTAGAGCTAATATGGATAAAAATCTAAAATATGTCAAGAGAATCAGGTTGCTTAATGTTCTTACATATGGACTCAAAAATATTTCAGAAGTGTGTTAGACCCTGAACAAACACAGCATTCTCTGTTAAAGCTGACACATTTTTTTCAGGCTATTATGCTAGTCCCCAAAAAGATATGATTGCTTTAATTAATTTTCTTGAAGTAATGGTGAACAGTTCTACAAAGGTGTCAATGCAATGTACATCTGCTGTAAAAAAAGGCAAAGAGCAAGTTAGGAATAATAAGAAATGGCATTGAAAGTAGAGGTGTCAATATTGTAATTATTACATTATAACATAATATAAATCTATGATGTGACTATGGGTGGAAAATTGTGTGCAGTTCTGGTTGCTGCACCTCAAAAAAGATATAGTGGAGCTAGGGAAGATTTAGAGACAAATTAAGATGACAAAGAGGCTAAAGCAATTCCCCTATCTTTCAGGAAAAGGCAGAAAGATCCTGTGTTTCCTCTAAATCCAAAGCATTTCTTCCAAACTTTTGTTGGAAGTATGTGCAACCATATTGTTTAGATCAGTATCTTATAATACATCTGATCATCTCAACCAATCATGTTGACTGTCTGACCAGAATTAGTCACTCAGGTTTTTGAAAATGTGTTGGATTCAAGGACTTGCTTAGTTTTAAGTTTATAAGATGTTGCTAAGGGACTTTTCGTCATTACTTTCTAATGGTCAGAAGGAGGAAAAAGGAAAGACATTTCATCTGAAAATCATTGGGCTGCTCAGTTTGTTCCTGGATATTGTGCCAACCCTCTTACACTTGGAGCAGAAGACATTAAAGAAGACATTAAAGAAGTTGTTGGTTATATTCATATAACCTATTGAAATGTAAATTCAGACACCCACATTGTAGCACGGAGCATTATGCAAATACAGCTCTTACATTTAGTTTATAGACCTTACATTTAGTTCAATGCCTCATATAAAACCAAGCAACTGATCGACAAATCAGTTAACATGGGAAAATGTTCTGTGTAACCAGACTTTTTCATAGATCTGTTTTATATTCCTTATCCTGAAAAGGTTGATTATACTAACGTGTTTCTGCCCTTGCAGTGCCCTTATATAGTTAGTATGCTAGAATGAAACTCAAATGTACTTGATTATTAATTCAGACTGGAAAGTTCTAAATTTTAGGGACTATTATGAGCTGTCCAGAATTACATGAGATAGGCAGACACATAAGATCTGTAAATAAATAAATAAATAATCAATCAATCAATCAATCAATCAATCAATCAATCAATCAGGACAATAAAGATTAGTAGGCTTGGTTTGTTTGCTTGCAGATCTCCACTAGTTTCTAATAATGGCTGCAGATGTTTATAACAAGAAGGATGTGCCGAATGGGTCCTTGGCACCAACTGGTGGACAGCAGTCCGAGAGGTCAGAGAGTCCAACACCAGGATTGACCCAGGGAACAGAACCAGGTGAGTCACAGTAGACATATATTGTGCAATTTTGGATGGAATAATGTTATTACACACAACACACACACACATACAATTACGTTATTATTTTGGGGGGGAGGGGATAAATAGACCAATGTCAAACTCAGAAATGGGGTAAGAAATAATGAGCCAAAGAAATTAAGGAATGAGATAAAGAAAAGGTAATGTAAGTAAATCTAGCTAAAACTATGCACTATATTTCATCTTACCTTTCTATTGTCGCACACCATTGTTGTTTATAACATGCCAATTCACTACTTCATACATTCTTTTATTTTTTTAATATTCCTTTCTGAGAATCTCATCAACTCCATTTAACAACACCTTTCTTAATCTTTCCTCTCCTGTTAATCCAATTCTTTCTTTTTTCATATATATATATATATATATGATATATTCAGAGAGAGTATGGATATGCATTATTATCAGCTCTATTTTAGATGATAGTAAGACCTTCTTCTTCTTCTTTTTCTGATATTTTAAATTAATATCTTTTTTGGTAAGAGGGAAGAATTTCTATACAGTGGTAGCTTATTAAGAAGAATAGGAGAGCAGCCAGAAAGTAGCAATTATTATAATTGAATTATAAAATCCAGTCAACTAACCTATTTTCCACATGAGAACCATTCCTAAATAAAAACTTGCATAGAGAACACCATAACCAGTGCAATGTGTAGAAAGAAATATTAAATGTAGCACATAGTCACACTAAAATCTCAACAAAACACTAACATTAGAAATGCCAAAACAATACATTAAATGCCTAGGAAAGTAATAGCTTTACCTGTGTCAACATTATAATAATAAAGATATCAGATCAATTTCTCAGAAGATGGCGTTTTTTCTGCAAATCGGGAAAAAAGTCTTTGCTACCTGCTCTGCCTTACTGGAGAAACTGTTCAGACAGCCTGATCTCAAGCTGATTAAGTGTTATATGTTAATGTGTGAACATTTTGTATTGGGTCCAGAAATAGATGGCCAGCCGGTGCAGATGGCAAAGTTATAAACGTATGATTAGATCAAGTCTAAAAATCCACTAAATTGCTACCCAAAATCCTAGTCTCAGGCTGATATGAAAAAGTGTGGTCACTTTCCTGGGTTTTATTAGGAAGAATAATAGTAACATGTCCAGAAATATCAACAATTATGCAAGGAAAAAAAGGGGGGCCTACAAAACAAACATATCTTCATGGCATTGTGGGAGGGAAACCATCCGGAATAAAACATGAGCAGATAATCCTGATTTCAGATTCTGAGACTAATTAATCCCAAACCATATATTTTCATAGAATGAAAACCACTGTTTCTGCTTAATGGGCCATATTCCTGTGAATCTACGACTCTATACTCTGAGATTCTTAACTTGATTTCAGATTATTATTGGGAACTTAATGCTCAGTTTTTCTTTGACTGCTTTAAAATACTTAATATATCCAGCCTTCTTTGACTAATATATTAAATGTACCTAAAGAATATGCATATCCTACTTAAGGAAGAAAGACATAATGAATTTCAAGTTCCTGGATAAGAATTCAAAACTTTTGAGCTCAGGTATTAGTTATCACATTCAAATATTAAAATTAAAAGATCTGCCTGTTTTACATTGTTTCCAAAGGAAGAACATCCATTATGATTTAAGGGTGGTATGAAATGTTAATTACAATAAATGTAATCTTCTAACCTTTAATATTTAAATGTAACCCCTTGTTCCTTAGTTAACACAAAGCACAGAAACAGAAATGTTAGCACAATTTTAAAGAAAAATTATGATTTATTTACCATTTTATGTAGGGCGATGCATTGATGAGGTTTGCAAGTCATTCTGTCTGATGCCTTTGTCACAGCTTAAACTGTTGCCTAGTTCTGTTCTGAAAAACTGACCACTTATCCTGGTATTGTTTATCAGGGGCAGGCCAAGAGGGAGCCATATTTGTTCACACTAGGTCATATGAGGACCTAACTGGTACAGACAATACAGAATCAGCAGCCAAGAGCCCAGGCGAGAGGGAAGAGTCTCAACGTGATGAGCTCAAGATAGAAGAGATCAGCAAGGATTTCAGTGAACTAAGCACACAACTTACTGGTATAGCACTGGACCTGGAAGAAGAGATAAGGCAGAACAGTGAGGGCAATTTGGAACTCTCGCCACAAGGTTCACGTCGAGATTCAGTCCTATCAGGGAAAGAAGAAGAAGATATAACCATGGAGGCCTGGCGTATGCATCAGAAGCATGTCTTTGTTCTAAGTGAGGCAGGCAAGCCCATATACTCACGATATGGGTGTGAAGAGGCTTTGTCTACTACCATGGGAGTAATGATGGCTTTGGTCTCCTTTGTAGAGGCAGAGAAGAATGCCATCAGATCAATTCATGCAGGTACTTATTCACACCCTTCTTCCCGACAAAGTAGGCCTGTTGGAAAGTAGAATATGGTATGAGAGAAGGACAAAAGAAATGACAGTGCAAAGTCTTCTGCAGAGATATCAGGATGACATAGTCCTGATTTTTACCCAAAACAATCCAAAATGCTTCTGTAAGTTATCTATTTATTAAATGTACTCACCGCCAGGGGTGAAATGCTACCGGTTCCCTCTGGTTTGAGCGAACCGGTTGTGATAAAAACTACCAGTTCAGGTGAACCGGTAGTAAAAAAATGCTTTAAAAAGTAAAAAAAAAAAAAAGGTTCCGACGATCACAGCTGTGCGATGTGATCGTCGGAACCTTTTTTTTACTTTTTTAAAGCATTTTTACTACCTATTGGCCCAAACCGGTAGTAAAGAAATGCTTTAAAAAACTAAAAAAAAAAAAAAAAAAGTTGCGACGATTGCGTGGCACAGCTGTGATCGTCGGAACCTTTTTTTTACTTTTTTAAAGCATTTTTACTACTTATTGGCCCAAACCGGTAGTAAAGAAATGCTTTAAAAAACTAAAAAAAAAAAAAAAAGGTTGCGACGATCGCGTGGCACAGCTGTGATTGTTGGAACCTTTTTTTTACTTTTTAAAAGCATTTTTACTACTTATTCGCCCGAACCAGTAGTAAAAAAATGCTTTAAAAAAGTTTTTTTAAAAAGTTGGCCATGCCCACCCAGTCAAATGACCCCCCCACCAAGCCACACCCACAGAACTGGTAGCAACAAATTTTACATTTCACTACTGCTCACCGCCCATCACACTGTCACGTGACTTTAGGTGGCTTACAATCCAATAAAACAATATTATACTGTAAAAGATTAAAACAGTAAGACAATAAATACATTAAAATTAATAAAGAAATAATTTAAAATAGGCAGGGGGGATTTGGTTGAACTTAACAAGTTTAATAATTTGATAATATGCTATTTCATCTTTAGTTTAGCATCAGGTAAGGCCTAGATTAACAAAATTGAATGTTTCTGTAAAGAGCAGATCCAAAGTCAATTTATAATAAAAGTGATCAAAATCAATGTTCAGAGAGAAGAACATGACTAGATTGCTAAAATCTAGGGTCAAGGCTGGGCCCTGCGAGGGGGTACGGCACCAGGGATACAGGGTCGGATGTGTGGGAGGGGGCGGGAGCTCAATCCAGGGAGGGTTGTGCAATCAGTACTGTAGGTGGGAGGGGCAGATATGGGGGTGGCAGGGAGCCATATCATGTTTTGGGAATGCGCACTCGCTACCTTCGAGCGATTGCGCGCTCCGGTCCCCAATGCCTTTCTCGTGTCCCAGGTGGCTCAGATCCTCAGGCTCTGGACCTCCGGCTGATGTTATGTAACGCCAGGTGTGTGGTAAATAAAGCCCCCCTCATTTATGATCTTATTCAGGAGGGGGGAGCGGACCTGGTGGGTATACCAGAGACCTGGTTGAGCCCGGAAAGGGGGGTGCCCCTTGTAGAAATGTGCCCACCAGATTCCATTAGCCGAGGGCCCAGGGGAGGGGCAGGGGGTGGCAGTTGTTATTAACAAAGATCTATGTCCGAGGGAGACCATTGTTCCTCAGATAGCTGGATGTGAGTCCCTCCTCGTGAAGTGCGACCGTGGGGTGCAGGTGGGTCTGCTGATCATGTACCTGGCTCCCTGCTACGTGGCAGCGGCCCTGCCCGAGCTGCCTGATGTGATAGCTAGGGTGGCAGTTAGTACCCCCAGGCTGATGGTTGTGGGGGATTTCAACCTGCCATCGGTTGGTGACACATCAATGGCAGCCCGGGAGTTCATGGCTTCCATGACAGCCTTGGACCTGACCCAGTTAGTTCAAGGCCCTACTCACATGGGGGGACACACTCTGGATCTGATTTTTGTCTCTGGTCAGTGGCAGAATGATCTAGAAATAGGGTATTTAGTTATGCAGCCCTTGTCATGGTCTGATCATTCACTCCTTTGACTGGATCTTCGAACCGCTACCCCTCGCCACAGGGAGATGGAACCGGTCAGATGGTTCCGTTCCAGGTGCCTGATGGACCCGGAGAGGTTCCGGAGGGAGCTTGGGCCACTTCCTGAGGCTCTGGCCCACAACTCGACTGAAGAACTAGTGGCTGCCTGGCATAGGGCAGCCACTGGGGCTTTGGACCGCGTCATGCCTTTGCAGCCTCTGACTCGGCACCGATCTCAATTGGCTCCTTGGTTCTCCGAGGAGCTGAGAGAGTTGAAGTGCTGGAAAAGACACCTGGAGAGCGGTTGGAGGGCCAGCCGTTCCGAATCTGACCTATTCTGACTTAATATGAGACTGGTGAAGTCTCATATTAAGACCTACCTAGTGGCGATCAAAGCGGCAAAATTTAATTATTTTTCCGCTCTGATTGGGTCTGCGGATAACCGCTCAGCCGCCCTGTTTAGGGTGACCCGCTCCCTTCTCCATACGGGAGCGCGGGAAGACCCCTTGCAGGGTAGGGCTGAGGACTTTGTGCACTATCTGCACGACAAAATTGCTCAGATTCGAGAGGGCTTGGACTCTGACTGGATGGGTTCAGATGGGATGACGGAGGTAGGTCTTGAGAATGTTAGCTGGGAGGAGTTTGACCTTGTGACTTCGGAGGACATGGACAGAGTCTTGGGTAGGCTGAATGCGATCACATGTTTGCTGGACCCGTGTCCCTCCTGGTTGGTGCTGGCTTCCCGGGAGGTTACACAAGGCTGGCTCCAAGGGATTGTTAATGCTTCTTTGAGTGAGGGTTTCTTTCCTGCCACTTTGAAAGAGGCGGTGGTGAGGCCCCTCCTCAAGAAGCCTTCCCTGGACCCGGCTGTTTTATCAAATTATCGTCCTGTCTCCAACCTTCGTTTTGTGACGAAGGTTGTTGAGAGTGTGGTGGCACGACAGCTTCCTCAGCACCTGGATGAAGCAGATTATCTGGATCCGTTCCAGTCGGGTTTCATTGGTCATATTGGTCGATGATCTCTGGAGGGCTCAGGACAGGGGCTGTTCCTCTGTCCTGGCCATGTTAGATCTCTCAGTGGCTTTTGATACCATCGACCATGGTATCATGCTGCGCCGCCTGGAGGGGTTAGGAATGGGGGGCACCATTATGCGGTGGTTCGCCTCCTTCCTCTCCGGCCATACGCAGTCTGTGTTGGCAGGTGGGCAGAGGTCGACCCCAAGGCGCCTAGTCTGTGGGGTGCCACAGGGGTCGGTCCTCTCGCCCCTCCTGTTCAACATTTATGTGAAGTCACTGGGTGAGATCATCCGTGGCTTCGGGGTGGATTTCCATCAGTACGCTGATGACACTCAGCTGTACATTTCCACCCCGGGCCACCCCAATTATGCCCTTGAAGTGATGTCCCGGTGCCTGGAAGCCGTACGGATCTGGATGGGGAGGAACAAGCTCAGACTTAACCCTTCCAAGACTGAGTGGCTGTGATTTCTGGCGTCCTGTCATAGTCAGTTAACCCCATCAATGACTATTGGGGGTGAGATCTTGACCCCCTCAGAGAGGGCTTGCAACTTGGGACTCACAGCTGTCCTTAGAAGACCATCTGACGGCTGTGGCCAGAGGGGCTTTTTATCAGGTTCGCCTGATTTACCAGTTGCGTCCCTTTCTGGATCGGGACTCCTTACGCACAGTCACTCACGCCCTCGTCACTTCCCATCTGGACTATTGTAACGCTCGCTACACGGGGCTCCCCTTGAAGAGCACTTGGAGGCTCCAACTGGTCCAGAATGCAGCCATGCAGGTAATTATGGGAGCGACCCGATGCTCCCATGTAACACCGCTCTTGCACGAGCTGCACTGGCTCCCTGTGGTCTTCCGGGTGCGATTCAAGGTGTTGGTTGCCACCTTTAAAGTGCTCCATGGCATGGGCTCTGGGTATCTATGAGACCGCCTTCTGCCACCGATAGCCTCCCATCGACCGGTATGCTCCCACAGAGAGGGGCTCCTCCGGGTGCCATCAGCTAGACAATGCCGGCTGATGACCCCCAGGGGGAGAGCATTCTCTGTGGGGGCCTCTCTGTGGGGGCCTCTACCCTCTGGAATGAGCTGCCCCCCCCGAGAGTCGTAGGATTACCGACCTGCGTACCTTTCGCCGTGCCCTAAAAACATTACTATTCCAACAAGCCGGGCTGGCCTAAATAATAATAATATTTTTACTATTTTTAATGTGTTGTTTTATTAGAATTTTCGGCCAATTGATTTAATTGTTTTAACTTGTTTTTAATTTTTCTATTGTCGTGGTTTTATTTCTGGCTGTACACCGCCCTAAGTCCTTCGGGAGACTCAGATTTAATTTAATTTAATTTTTAAAAAAAGGATGCTAGTGTCCAACCTATAGGTGGAAGAGAATTAATCAAAACTTCTTAAGTAAAAACTTTTAAAACCTAAGAATAATTTTAATTAAGTCTCATTACTGCTCATAGAAGTACTAAACCTATAGTTTGTACCATTTTAGATTGCAGGTAGAGATTAATAAAACATCCCTTGCATGCAAAGACCGATCATTATCAGAAGATGGCAATTCCCAAGAGTAACCCTCACTGAAGTAAAAACTATTTTTAAAAGGGCCTTAGGGTTACCACTGTAGCTCAAAATATTGACGCACTTTCTCTCATTCTCTCCCTCTCCATTTTGACTCTTTGCCAGATGGATACAAGGTGGTCTTTGTGCGCAAGAGTCCCTTGGTGCTTGTTGCAGTGGCTCAGACTCGACAGTCAGAGCAAGAAATTGCTCAAGAACTCCTTTATATCTATTACCAGATAGTCAGTCTCTTGACATTGACTCAGCTTAACCGGATATTCCAACAGAAGCAGAACTATGATCTAAGGAGACTGTTAGCAGGCTCTGAGCGTATAACTGACAACTTGGTAGACCTGATGGCTAGAGACCCCAGTTTTCTCATGGGGGCAGCACGTTGCCTGCCTATGGCTGCCGGAGTCAGGGATGTGGTGAGTACTTGCCTTCAACAAGCCAAAGCTAAAAGCCTGGTATTTGCCATCTTATTATCAAAAAACCAATTGGTATCACTTGTGAGGAAAAGGGACCAATTCCTTCATCCAATTGATCTCCATTTACTCTTTAATCTCATTAGCTCATCCTCCTCATTTAGAGAAGGAGAAGGTTGGACTCCAATATGCCTTCCCAAGTTCAATTCCAATGGTTTCTTCCACGCTCACATTTCTTATTTGGAACCAAATATTGACTTGTGCCTTGTCCTGATTTCTACTGATCGTGAGGACTTCTTTACTGTATCTCACTGCAAGCAAAAGTTCCAAGAACGCCTAAAGAAGCGCGGTGTTCATCATGCTCTCTTGGAAGCAGTGCGTACTCCTTTCTACAGTGTCTCCCAGGTGGGAATTCCAGACCTTCGACATTTCATCTACAAATCTAAGAGTTCAGGACTTTTTACCAGGTGAGAGTCCATTCTGGGCAACACCCATCTTCCAGCTTCTCTCTAGTACTCTGCAAGGATAGATGGGATTGATTTAATCTGCATTGATCAGTTCAATTTAGTCTGTGTTGGATAGTCTATTTCAGGAGTTTGGCATCCATAGTTAGTCTTGGGACATCAAGCTCCTACTGAATTAATAAAACAGATTAAATTACAAATTGACATGCACAATATCTGTCCAGGAAACAAAAATCAACTCCGTCTTTTGAGTTATAGGTATTTGAACAATCCTCCTAATAATTTGTTGGTGTTTTACGCTGGCCAGATTTCAAAACCTCATGGCCATCAAATCATGGATACTTATGTCATTATATAGCTACTTTAGTGAACAGCAATGAAAAGTTAACATAGGTAGTCAGATGGTACTACAAATGAGAAAGACAATGTGGTTGCATAATCCTATAGAAAAGCAGCACCTAAGAATTTAGTTTTGCCATAGAGTTTGTTGTCTAGTTGAATAGTCTAATCACTTTCAAGAGACATTTTATATCCTCGAGAGTCCAATCCAAATTACACCTATAAATTAATTGTAAGGAGATAGGTAAGTACTGTGGATGCACTTCGAAAATATTGTTTGTAGAATCCTTTTCCTGAACTGACATGGGAGATAATTATCAAATCTGTCCTTCCAGTCTAGCAGTATCTTCTTGGATGAAACAAAAAAAAAAAGAGTGTTACAGACAAGAAAAGAGTGCACTCTGGTTCCACCTATGGACCATCTGTATACAAATATCTATATCCAGTTTATGCAAAGAAGTGTCCAGGTTTGTTGGGTCACAGGTTATACTTTACTTTTGTTGGGCTGAGGTCCACACAAGAAGTAAATAAGAGCCAGAGAAAGAACCAGGCAAGATCAGGGAGAATTTAATTTCCTTCTACGATATCAAAACAACAATTTGGATACACAAAAAACACACAAAAGTTCAAAATCTTTATTATATAACAAATACCTTGATGCAAGTTACAGTGTGTTATTTTTTTTTCTTTGCATATGTTATCCTTGACTTTGAATTGAAACGATCAAATAATTTTAATGCTAGATAATAACATCGACATCCAAAATTATAACTATTTTTTTTTTTAATTTGATTTATATGCCGCCCTTCTCCGAAGACTCAGGGCGGCTTACAATGCGCTAAGCAATAGCCTTCATACTTTTGTATATTTATACAAAGTCAGCTTATTGCCCCCACAAACTGGGTCCTCAATTTACCTACCTTAGAAAGGATGGAAGGCTGAGTCAACCTTGAGCCTGGTAATTGCAGTAATTGCAGGCAGCTGGTCTTAATAACAGGGTGCTTTAGACCACTGTACTACCAAGGCCCTTGATATTGATAGACTATCTTCTTTTTTCTTTTCCTTATATACTCTTAAGGTATATAAATAATAGAATATCAAGAATTTGTCATTATAGCTTATAAGTATAATCGTACTGACATTTTAAAAAAATAAAAATAAAAAATGGCAACCACTTTTAGACAGGTTCTCTACCTTAGGCTTTGAGAGACATACCGTATGTGACCCTAGAATGACTAAGTCTAAAGAAGGTCCTGATCAAATTCTCAAAAGTATCTGATTGATAAAATTTCAGCTCTAATATTTAAAGTTTCTGTTTTAATGATAGATCATCCCAAAATTGGGATCAGGGAACATTATTTAGTAAAATCACTGGCTGTAAACTCTGCTGAACTGAGAATTTTTTTTCTCTTAGGCAAAAAAACCTAGTTATTTAATTTACCTTTATGACAAAAAGGATTATTCAATGAAAGTGTGTTTTTTTCCAGCCCAGAGATTGAAGCTCCCTACATCACTGAGGAAGAAAAGGAAAGACTCCTGGAATTGTATCAGTACTTGCATAGCCGAGCTCACAATTCCACCCGTCCTCTCAATAACATCTATTATATTGGATCCAATGAAAATCTCCTGGCCTGGGTAAGAATTTATTTCATTACTGCAGCTTCTAGAAAAATTGTAGTAAAAGCAGGACCTAGTCCCAGATAACTTTATTACCTGGAAGATATATTAGTGTATTAGTACAACTGAAACCTTGCACACTTCTTCACTTACAGCAAATGGCCCAATGAAACAGGGCAACAATTATCTGTATGTAATAAAAACAATAGGGGCAATTTGCTTTACATGTCAACAGTAACATGAGAGTCCCAAAGGTGCTTTTTCAAGAGGCAACTGGACTTTCTGGTTTTTCTTTGGAGACGTTTCGCTTCTCATCCAAGAAGCTTCTTCAGCTTCTTCAACGTCTTCAGAGAAAAACCAGAAAGTCCAGCTGCCTCTTGAAAAAGCACCTTTGGGACAGCCATGACCTGGATGACTGAGAATCTCCATGGACAAGTAACACGAGAGGAACTGCTTTGCTCTGATTGCATATTGTAATAGAAATTTAAACTTTTTCCAGGTGACCAGTGCTTTTGAACTCTACGTGTGCTTCACCCCCCTGGGTACCAAAGCAGCAGCTGTCAGCGCTGTCAACAAGCTGATGAAGTGGATCCGTAAGGAGGAGGACCGGCTTTTTATATTGTCGCCCCAGACTTACTGACTGTTGTGACCTGGGCTGCCTGCCTTGTTCTGAATACTCCAAAACTACTTCCTGTGTCTGCTGGGAGTAGACATAGTCAGTTTCTCGTCCTCCTTCTCTCTCTCGCTCTCTCGCTCTCTCTCCCTTTCTGGGGAAGATTTCCGGCCCACAGTGGATATGTGCATAAGGAAGGAGTTCTCTGGGTAAAAGAGCTTTTGGCTGACAGGGTGCACACGGGTATCAGAAGAGTCCAACATTTCAGGGTTAGTTTCAGATATTGCATCTAGAATTGGAACATAGACCTCCTGCCATCCTGTAAGTATTATTTGAATCTGTTTCAGCCTAAAAATATGTCCTTTCTACCATTTTCTGCATATTTTGAGGCTATGTTAAACAAATCTTCTTTCCCATAACTGATTTTCTCTACTGACCTTTTGAACATAGTGCCACAGGTATTAAGTTTTCCCATCTCTCTTAATCTTGACTAATTGGGGGAAGGTAGGTTGGTGGCTTAGCAAGTGCCTTCTCATAGGATTTTCCATATAAAGGCCTGAACAAATGCACAGAAGGTGTGGCAAACATATAGATAGTGAGGGAGAAAACAGTTTTATGTCCCTTTTATAGGAAGATAAAAAAAAAAAATCCCAAGGAGGTTTTTTTTCTTTTTATGACTCAAAAACATGCTTTGCTCTTTGAGATTAACAAATTTAAAGAAGTTCACAGATTATCTTCAAATTGCTAGTGAAGGACTGAAGTGTAGTAGCAAAGGCAATATATAAGTATTTTCAATTAGAGGCACTCAGATCCTCCAGTAAGTGGCATGAACCTAGTAGTTGGAAAATATTTTATAAATTATTTCCATTCCTTCCTGTGAGTTTCTCCTTAGAACCCATTTATCTAATGCTTATTTTTAACTGGACCAAATTCTTGATTTGCAGAGTCCTGGTGAAACCATATCCATACTGTTATAGGCTGTGTAGTCTCTTTATTTAACAAACAAACATACATTCAGGGAAGAAAGGTTTGAATCATTGTTAATATGTGAATGCTCAAGCCTAACAATTATTCGGGCAAGAAGAGCCAGATTCCATACTAGTGTTTCACTAGTGCAACTTTCAGATGTGTGGACTTAATTTCCCAGAATTCCCAAGCCATGATGCCGGCTGGGATCCACACATTTTATAGTTGCTGAGATTGAGAAATACTGGCTTGTAATGTTAAAATAGGTTATTCCAATTCATGCCAATGCATCTGCTCCAAGAATAAGAGATAGCATTGTGAAAATGGGCACCCTATGGTAGAAATCTGTTTACATCCATTCTTCAATTATAGGAATTTTGAACACAATGGAGGTCTAATAGCTAAATTTGGCATATGGAATCTTTTTGAAATGATACTGAAATGGTGCAACCTCAGAAATAAGTTTGCCATTATATTGTGATTTTTCAGAACACCCCAAAACAGTATACTGTCACTTTTTAGAATAGAACTTTTCAACATCAATATGTAATGTGTAATATGTAATGTACATGAGTGAAGGGGGAAAACATCTTTGAATGTTGGAAAAGGTTTCTGACAATAAGAACAGTATGACAATGGAACCAGTAACTGAGAAAGATATTATGCTCTCCTTCTCCTGGATATGACTTCACGGGGGAAGCTAGACAGCTGTCTATTGGGGTCACTTTATTTGGAGATGTATCTTGAAGGGTTGGATTAAATGGCCTTTTCCAGCTCTTACATTTGTATATGTTTGTGTGTTGGGGGCAGAGAAAGGAGAGAAAAAATAATCACCAAAGTAATGACAGGGTTCATCCAGATACAACTGCAGATCCATCAAGGAAAAATGACCCCACCTTCCATACCCTACACTCCTGCATGTGTTCAACAATGCCAGATTTCTGATTCTATTTGCTTTAGTATTTCTTTTTAGATTTTTGTCCCGCCTTTTTTTTTTTCATGTACAGCTAACAGTAGCAAACATACCAATATTCCTTCCTCATCCTTTTTCTCTACATGCAGACATGTCAAACACGATAGGCCCAGAGTTGTCCTGCGGGGTTGTTCTGGAGATAGCAAGGGACTGGTCTGTGCCACCCTGGCCTCAACCCACCCTACCCCACCCACACTCATCCAGTTGGCCACAATGACCAGGCCACACCCACTCCAGCCCCCCAAGGGCAAACAAAATCCTGATATGGCCCGCAATGGGATTGAGTTTGACATCCCTGCTCTACAACAACCCCATGAGGTGAGTTGGACTAAGAGAGATGGCTCAAAGACACCCAGCCAGTTTTTCCATGCCTAAGGTAGGATTAGAACTCCCAGTCTCCTGGTTTCTAGGCCTACAGGTTAACCACTACACCAAACTGGCCCTTTTTTTCTATTTTTAGTTGCACACTGTAAGGTGCAACTAAACTGTAACATTAAATGAAACTGAGATCCAGTGAAATTGTACATGTCCAGTGATGGTGTCATGGATATCTTTCTAGACCATTCTTGGATCTATAGTTTCATCTGGAAAGGGTTATTATGTGTGATTCAGGGGGAAAATGTTAACAGGTAACTCTAAAAAAAAAATCAACACACAATTGCCACAAGATGGCAGCAGAACACCAGATTGTGAAATATTTTCTCAATATTAAAATAAAAGACATAGTAGATGCTGAATAAATTACTATTCACAGATGCATTTTCTGTATTTACAACCTATGGATTCAGTGTAATGTATACTGCTACTTCTCTGAATTTAATAAAAGAGTTTTATGGGACCTTTTAGATTAACAAATGTACTATATATCACAAGATTTCATGAACTACCACCAGTTCAACAAATGCTAAAATTCTACTATGTGCTGTAATAAATTAAAGTGTGGAAAACTGTTGTTTTGATTTAACCGACAAGCACAGCTGCTTGTGTTAGTTCAATATGTAACATAATGTGTACATGAGTAGCGATGAAAAGATGCATAGGGTGTTTGAATGATAGAAGAAGTTTCTAACAATAAGAAACTTTTTGACAGTGGAACCAGTTACTGAGAAAGATGGTGGGGAACTGTAGGAAAGTATTTGAGTTAAAATCATAGAGATGCTGAAACCCTCCATAGATTTGCTGCCTTTAATTTATTCTTTGGAAGTTTTAAATTTTGAAATTCCAAGCTAACAGAATCCCCATTATGAACACCTCAATTATCCAGTAGGAATTCTTTCCCATATACTTTACATGATATTTAAATACTTAATGTATATATATAAATATATATACATACTTAATGTGTATATATATATATATATATATATATATATATATATATATATATATATATATATATATATATATATATATATATATATATATATATATATAATGTATCAATTTTCTTACTTCTTCGTAGGGTTTATGTGTGTTTTTCTTCTAGCCAACCTTATGGTTACGTAGGGAAAACCTGGCTAGAAGAAAAACACATATATTTAATGTATTATATAAATACTTAATGTATTATGTAGTATTTTAATTAAGCAAAGTATGCCATTTGAATTTTCTTACTGCCACAACCAAGTCACGTTTCTGTTTTAGTAATACTTGCTATATTACTAATAAAGGAGAATATTTGTAGCTCAGGGCTGACATTGGTGCTCTCTGAGCTTGCTTGTTTTCTCACAGACATTTCATTACCTAAACTAGGTAACATCATCACTAACACTAATGATGTGATCTAGTTTGGGTAATAAAACATCTGCAAAAAAAATAAGTAAGCTCAGAGAGCACCAAGGACCCCTAGCTTGCTATATTATTTGTTCATTTAACGTTTTGAATACTTATTGCATCAAATGCCCCAAGCCTTGGTTTATTCTAGCAAAATCAAGCAACCTTATTTTAGGGACATGAGAGTGGTTTATAAATACCTCACTTTTTGTTTGTTGGCTCTTTGTTTCTGTTTCATGTTTTTAAATTCCTTTTTTAAAAATAAAAACTGTAAATTTAAAGACAATTTGCTGTATATAAGACAATGATTAACAATGTTAGCAGCTAATATGCTAATATTGCAGTAATATGCATTCAAGTGGCTGTCTAACGAAACAAACTTTAGCTTTAGGAAAATATGAAGAAAATCCTGTCCCCGAACTCAGATCTTCAGATATCAAACAGCAGCAAACCCTGCTAAGCCACACTGTGGTTTGTCTGTTCTTAACTTAGCATGTTAAGCAAATCTTGTTGATAAAACCACAAAACCATGATTTATGCCAACAGTATATTCAATAAAGCACAGTTAAACCCTGGTGGAAGAACATTTTGTTCTCTTCTGAAATTAAGAAAACTTGCATGGAAACAGAGAGGTAGCATAATAAGTGTAGTTTGATCCTGGGGCTGCCTGTGTCTGGAAAAAAATTAAGATGTCAACCTCATCACAATGCTAATTAGAGAACACAACTATGTCCTTCCACCCCACTGAACAACAAAACATCTCATTTCAGTCTTACAGACAGAGGCCATGGGGTTCATTTATGACTCAGTGTGTTGGGGAAAAATCAGAAATTGGGGAAATGATGTGCCAACACAGCCTCTGCTGCTTTTGAATTCTTAGTGGTGAAGAAATTAATCACTTCACCATACAATAATATCTAAGGCATGAACCCCCGGCACCTGCTTCATAATCCCCAAACCAGTAAAGAATTATGCTTTCCATGAAGGTTTATCATCCACAGGTTTATGCTGGGCAACTGGTACATCTTTATCATGCAAAGGACATTGTGATGGGAGGTTTCCTTGTCTGAAGTTTCAGTCCCACCTAACAGGATACACCAGGGGTTGGTTCTATTTACCTTTACTACCGGTTTGCAACGGGAGTGTGTGTGCATGCTTGCTTAGCTCACGTGTGCACGCACACTTCTGCGCATGCACAGAAGCTTCTGCACATGAGCAGATCATCCATTATGACGTCCGGGCGGAGCCTCCCGCCGCTTTTACTACCAGTTCGGAAGAACCGGACAGAACCGGGAGCAACCCACCACTGATATACACCACTGTCTCCTTCTCTTAGTATGCATGACTCACTAATTACTCCATGCACTACTTTTTTTTCCCCTTTCCCATAATATTATCCAGTGTCTGACCTTATTGGTCTTTGAAACGATGGATCAGCAGTTCATCCTATAGATCCGTGGATGGCAGCAAAGAATTAGATTTTGTGCATTTTGCAGATGCCACCTAGTGGTCAACCAGAACAGTGCAGCCACCAGAGAAATTACATTGGTGAACTGGAGGCTGGGAAAGGAGTTCAGTGTGGGAGCTGAAAACTACTTTAAGAACATTGTTTGAAGAGAGCAAGAGAGGAGGTGAGGTTCCTGGAAGGAGCAGCCACATGGAAGAGAATTCCCTGCCTGGAAGGCTGCAGAAGTACTATAAAAGACAAGTCCTTTCGTTTACACTTTCAATTACAGGTAGTCCTCATTTAGTGGCTGCCTCATTTAGCGACCACAATGCCATGGTGGTGGAAAAATAACTTTGCAACCAATCCTCACATTTGCAACCTTCGTAGGTCTATAAAGCAAGGGAAAGCCAAAGTCAGATCATAAGTACAGTCGCAGTTTTACTTAGCAATCGTGTTATGACCAAGTTGCAAGTCCCAGTTGTGGTCACTAAACAAATATTACCTGCCTTTGCATCAAGTCAGGGTCAGGCTACTCAGTTTCAAAACTTTCCATCTTCTAGGTCAACCAGTCCATCAATCCTTTTAAAAAAGAAAATGCCACATAAATTGGGGTTCTGGTCTCCACGCAGCTCAAAGAGGCTGGGAGGAAGGCAGAAAAACAGGACATGGTCAGGATGGAAAAGGGTGATTCAAGAACTGGAACTACACTTTTGCTAACATAGATCACATCTCTTAAGGGCATCTTTCCCAGGCACAGTCAGTGCAATTGCCTCGATCGTCAGAGGCTTTTTTTGCTTTTAA